TCGTTATGAAAATGAAAGTTTTTCCTATTTTTATTTCATATTACATAATTTCATACCAAGCGATACAGATCGAGTCTGAATGATAATTATGATTTATGACCCCTTTTTCACAGTTCGCACTAAGAAAATGTTTACATTAAGGAATTACTTTGAAAATTAATTACTGTAAGGAAACAAGAGCAAGAAGTGAGTTCAAAGGTTAATAGAACGCCAATGAGGGTGGTCTCAACATATTTTCTGTGTTGATTGATGAAATTTTAGCTTGATTTTTTGAGGAATTTTTGGAAAATTTGAATTTAGTCAAGAAAATTTTTGATGATCTTGGGGTTCGTTCAAATATGACGTCTGAAATTAACGATAATTTTTTTAAAAAGAACAATTTATTTCAAGGAATTTCGTTTGTTCTTTTCTTGCTGACCCTCCCCTTCCCACCCTGGACGTCATAAGTGAACGACCCCTTTAGTATTTTCGACTGAATAAAGTATAACATAACCTTAAATTTTGTGTAAAAATTCCATTAAATTCTCATTCCAATTAATTCAACGTCAACAACATGATTTTTCTACTTTCATGTTCAAGGTCACATAACTTAGCAGTCTACATAGCATTCCATTGTATATGTCTATAAATAGAACCGTAGAAAAAAAAGCAAAGCAAATTAATAATAAAATTCTCCATACAGGACATTCACAATTAAATTCACTTATATTAATAAATTTGGCTATAAAGCCATTAAGAAAGTACGAGCTGTGCTGTACAATTATGATTTATTGCTTCATGACTCTTTAAATGTACGAATAAAATAATTTATTTAATGCAATAAAACGAAGAGCTTAGAAAGAGTGTGCGAAAATATACAGCACAGAATTTTTTTTTTTTTATAAGCACAAACTTTTTGGCATATTTTACAAAAATTAATTTAAGTCTTCATTTCCTTTAAATTAACATAGACGAAAATTTCTGATGAAGAGCAAAGTGGTGATGAAAAGTGGGTTGATGAAACGCAGTTTCAAGGATTTTGTGGATTTCTTAAAGATTTTTAGATACTCTGAGCTCGAAAGACACTCGCGCAGCTATGGATACCAGCCACATGCCACTGTTACAACGGTCTGGTTTTATTATTTTGTGACTTTAACTGACTTTAAGCATTTTTCAAATTAAAATACGTCAAGACTGACTAATTGGTTGAATTTCCAGAGGTCTATGCTCTTTTTAAGGCTCAAAATCATGCACAACTTCCACTGTTAGCTCTAAAATATTTTCTTGTTTGGTAAAAAATAAGAAATGATCTCAATTCTCCTGACATTTACCTAATCAAGCAACATATGAAGGGATTCTAAAGACTCTAAAAGGCTAAGAAACAAATGACTCAAATTTTCACAAAATTATGAAATTCAACCATCAATTTTTACCTGCTCATAATTTTGTTCCAACACCATAATGTCTCCAACTGCGTATATGCATTAAAAATTAACATGCAGACCTCATAAATTTATTCCAAAATTCATAAACAAATGTAACAATAAAATCCAATGCCCTTGACGATGATCTGAGTCAAAATGACAACAAAACCACATCAATTGCTTAAGATGCCCCTGAAATGATGATAAAAATAAACTTTGATTAAATTAAATATAAAAAAAATTCTTTATAAATTTTTACAAAATTAAATCTCATTTCTTTCGCAATTCTCGAGTCAGAAAAATAAATGAGTTCAAATATTTACTTCTTTATGAATCAAACTTATCATAATGTAAGCACAGTGTTGCATTCTGGCGATTTGTCTGGATCAGATAAATTCTGAGACAGAAATTTCTTCATAAAGATCGATTCTATATGAAGATAAAAAATCTAATCTACACAAAGATTATTTCTACATGAAGAATCTGTCTACATAAAGATTCGATGTAGGTGTCTACAATTCTACATTCTTCTCTGATGTAGACCTGGAAAAAATGTAGAATTGTAGACATCTACATCGAATCTTTATGTAGACAGAATCTTTATGTAGAAATAATCTTTGTGTAGATTAGATTTTCTATCTTCATATAGAATCGATCTTTATGAAGATAGTTTCTTAGCTAGACAAAAACTATTGAAGAATCTACATTCTTCATCTAGTGTAGACATCTACATTTGCAACACTGTGTAAGCATAATGGGGTTTTATCACATCTAGATCAGTAAGTATTATGTATACATTGAAATGAATTAGCTACATTATAGAATATATTTTATTTATTCTTCACTTATAAAACACTTTCCATAAAGGAAAGACGTGAGATAAACAGCTTTGTCACACGACAAAAGAAATGAATGATTCTACGAGTGAATCTTCATTTAAGCAAATAATCATCATTATCGTCATCGTCTTGTATGAGCGAGAGTTGGGATTGATATTTCTTGAGAGCTATTGCGCATTTGTTGTGATTAAAGCTTGAATCTTGATAGTCTTGAGTCATTGCTTATATAGTTCCATACAACCTTTACTCTGAATTTGAGGTTATAGATCAGGAATCGACTAATTGTGTATCAACTATGAGACAAATAAGAAAAGTATAGAATTCCAGCCTAGAGTCGGCTAGAGTCGATGAGGAAGCTATTGGTGTCTTCAATTGACGAGTACTGTGAGCGATTTATGGATCTGTAAAAGAAGAAGAACAGTATCGAAGCCGACACAATGATGAATTATATCAGTTGTTTCAGGATGCTGATATTATTACGGTTCTCCGTGCAAATCGTTTGAGATGGGGCTGGACATGTTTTTAGACGTCAACAAGCTGCCCCAGTTCTCAGAATGACTATTGCAGACTTTGTAAATGGCAAGAGATCTAGAAGAAGACCAAAGAACACCTAGATTGGATGTGTTGATAAGGCCGCTAGAGTCCTTAATATCCCGAACTAGCAGAAGGTCTCGAAGGATAGAGTTTCATTCAAAGTAGTCCTTATTGCCTTATTTACATCAATGCAAACAGACATCATCTCATGGCTTCACATTTACATCAAAACAACTCAAAAATCAGCAAAAACCACAGAAATTCTCAGACACACACTCAGCCACACCAGACAATCTCATAACATTCTTCAAGTAAAAACCGCTAAAATGTAGAATGACATTATATTATTTGCAATAAAACACTTTTAACATTCTCTTATCAGTAATTACCCACGTGAAACGTGATTCGTACTCGTGCAACAATTTACTTTTCAACTTGCAGTATCACATCTTTTAATGAAAATCGCGTCAATGTTGACTCATTAAAAGATACTTTCCGTTGTGAAAATTAAACATACAAATGACGAGCGTGTATGCTTAAATGTTGACATGTTTTCCGAACATCTCCAACATATAATGAACCATACAAATATGATTGTTTGTTTAGAAAAAATAAGAAATAAATAGCAAAACAAAATAACGAATAGGAAAAAGAAATGCGAAGAATGTTGAAATGTGATAGTGTTTATACAGCCCGAGTAGTATAGAGAGTTATCTAGGATATTCATGAATGATTTTGTTCTTATTGTAGAAGGTTCTAGTTTTTCAATTTTGAGTGGCTTTCTATTGTCTTTTGGAATTAAACTATTATAGAATTCGCCGTTACAGATGTGAACGAATGAACGAAAATTGTTAATAAGGACCATCAAAATTTAACGGTTTTTTGAAATTCAAAGTCATGATATATAAAAATAAATTATACCATCCAAAAAAGAAAGAAAAGCTAATTTAATTAATAAACTGGAAGATTTTTTTAACAACAACAAAAAACCTTCAAACCTCCGAATTAGCAGCTATCCAATGCAAAAAACCAGAGATTTCAAAGTGCTTTCAGTTCCAAGCACTCGTGACAGCCAGCCAGCCAAAGTGGAATTATAATCGTATTGTTTGCTAAGGTAAATGTGCAATCAACTTAAGGGGCTGTTCACTTATTACGTAACGCGAAAAAATGACTTCTTAGACCCCCCCCCCCCCCCTCGTAACAAAATTTGTATGAAAAAAAAATTTCCTTGTTTAAACCGTAACAAAATCTTAGACCCCCCCCCTCCCCCCTAAAAGCGTTACGTAATAAGTGAATGGTCCCTAATTTCGATGACATTTACACAAAAAAGTAAAGTAGTCTCAGGTTCGATTCTCTTCATCTTTTATAAAATTGAGGAAAAGGAAATAAAAGACAAATAAGACTATAAGACTAAGATGAGAGTAACCTAAAGTATTTTACATAATGCCCCAAAAATCATTGCCACATCTCTATCAATCATCTCAAACAAGCACATGTAGCTTGGAAAGAAAACAGCAAATGACAGCATAATTTCAACTGAAAGCTAGAAGCTAGAAAAGGGAAGAAAATATATTAATTCTGTTTATGTTCATGCATGCACGTGTCATGTAAAAATATTACAAAAAATCCTCATAACCTTCAATAGTTTGCAGAAGGAATGTCATAGGGATCATAAAAATGATAAGAAGTTCCTAGAACATTTCAAACTTCCTCACATGCCCTTAACGTACAATATCCATATTCTCATCTTGTACACCAGCTGATCAGTCAATTCATGCTCATACACATGAAGCGATTATCATCAAATGACCAACACATGCATGAATACAATAATTATATGTACACAGAAGCGCTGAACAGATGATTCACAATACAATGTGAAGAAAAGAGAAAAAATGTATTTAAGTTCACCTTTCGATGTGTATAGCAACTAGTTTTGTATCGTACATGCAACAGGTTGGACGAAGAAGTTACTCGCGCTTTTTTTTTAAACTCAACTGCTCCAGTATTTAAACTTCAATTAATCAATTAGCATTCAATTCAGAATTCGGAAGTAAAACTTTTTTTTTGTGTGTAAAAATTCATTTTCATTCAGAGAATCATGGGATGCAAAATACATCAAGTGAATAAAAAATTAAATAAACTCTGTAAAAAAAGCTGATTGACTGAACAAAAAATAAAGTTCGTGCGAATTTTTTTGTTTAATTAAAGTATCATTGAGAGTTTTTGTTTTGTTTTTTTCGTTTTGTACAAAAAAATGTGAGTAATTTTTTAAGCAAATAAATAAGTGTGAAATGTGATGATTAGTGGTGCTTAGCACTTTAAATTAGTGCTTTTTTGTCTGTTAAAAATTCAATGAATTGCCATGAATGGGCTAGAAAAATCGAGAATAAAACATAAATTATGCATGCTTAAAAATGATTGAAATAAAATAAAATAGACGAAAATGAGTGATTACTGTGTAATTGAGTAATTAGTGTAATTATAATGCGGTCTGTCAAATACTCTATTTTCTACATTTGCTAGTTGAAATGTCGAGAATTTTTCAACTGATGAATTTTTTTTTGAAGTTTTAGAATTTTTTTGCTGATTTAGAATTTAAGCTATTTAGAGCATTATGATCACTATTTGCAAGGCGTATACACTCGGGAATTTTGGGATTTATAAATTCCCGAAAAATCCCAAAAATCCTGAAAAATCCCAAAAAAATCTCAACTTTTTTTCGAGTGTATACGCCTTGACTATTTGTGGATTATTTTAAAATGTTAAAACTTTGAAAGAAAATAATTTGAATAATTTTTGGCTTTAATTTGATAAGCGTGTGCTATGCCTCGTACTAGATGCCGAAAAGTGTCGCAAAAGTGTTCTCAAGATGGCAAAATTTCAGCTCTAATATCGAGTTGGCACAACGTACTTCCAACAGGCAAATCTATCCTAGGAATTGCTTTTGGAAAGGCATCAAAACTTATCTTTATTAAGGCTTGCCTAGCAAAAAAAGCACTGCCCAGAAATATGTTAAAAAATTTGCCTATCGCTACCTTTCGTAGACATGCTTTTGACTAGGTAAATTCATATTTGATTCATGTTGGTGCCTAGTTTTTGCGAAATTATTTAAACAACTAGTGTATCGGGTAGAAACTCAATGCGGATATATTCACACCGTACCATCAAAAGTCTTATGGACAGACCAAGATTTGCTCAGCATAAGTTTGAAGTTATAAAGCTAGCGAGTCAGCTGGGCTTCGCTCAGCATATGTTTGAAGGCACCTGCAAGATTTTAAAATAGGTTTCGACTTGGTAAAGGCATGTCAGTGTCTAGGAATAGCAAAAATTATTGTGACTAGGCACACTTTTTTATTTTTTTATGAAAGACATGTCTATACATAAGTGCTTCCTCGGCAATTGTAGAAGCTTCCTTGTTCTGGTGAGGCACCAATAATTCGAAGAGTAAAAACTGCTGAGTTCTGAAATTATGTTGAATATTACAATCTTGTCTTTAAGTCTCAAAATATAATTGATTGGTGTTTAAAACACAAAAAGAGTGGACATAGTTGTAGCCATGACTAGGGTGACCAAATATTTTTTGAAAAAATTAAGGAACTGAAAGTAAAATAGAGGACATCCCACGTGTCTACCAAGTTTGTATGTCTTTTTGACGAATTAGAACAAAACAAAAACAAATTTTTTTTTGAAATATGAAAAAAAATATAGGACTGTCCTCTTAAAGAAACCAAGCAGATGGTCAGCAAGGGTGTGGTACTGATGAAATGATCAAAAAGGATCAAAAATGATCAAAATGTAATTCTTTAGTTCCACACCCATGATGATCAGTCTAGTGAAGACCCCGTTCTCGATTAATTATTTGATGTTGTACATTTGAGGTTGAATTTAATATATTAAAATTTATTACATCCAACTATGCTTTCTCGAAATCCCGGTCCCGACAAATTTTCGGGATCGGGATCGGGATTGAAATTTTTCGGGATTTCCCGGGAAATCCCGGGAATCCCGAATATGTAAAAAAATTTAAAAAACAGCATTTTTCTGCTTTTTTTTCCAAAAAAAATTATATATTTTTTTGCTACTTATACGGTCATTTATTCCTTAATTAATTAGTTATACTTTATGTGTTACAAGGTAGATGTTTTAATCCATGTTTCCTTTGAAAAATGTGAACATAAACAAAAATAGAAAATAAATGTTGATAAAGATGTAAGTTAAAAGGTTATAGAAAACGGTGTGAATATAATAGTAACAATTAAGCATTAATGAAAAAACTTTTAACAAATGCAATTGCATTTAGATTCTTGTCAAGTAAACGTTTTCTTTGTTTTGTAAGAATGTTGTTACTAATAGAGAAATTTCGTTCGCTTTGAGTTGAGGTCGGCTGCATTGTTATCAATGCATCGTAAAGTTGATCTAACAAAACGGTTCTCTTCTTATTTTTGTCATACCAATTAAACTCTCTTTTCAAGTTATTTGGTTCTGTTGCTGCTGCATCTGTTGTTAATGATGTATATTCAGATATGCTTAGTTTCAGTCTATCTCGAATAGAAATGTTTGACGGTTGGATTTGATTTGCACTGGATGTTGAAGCTTCCATAGCTCCATTTGTAGAGTTTTTGACAAAATACTTCTTCAATAAGTCATTGCCAAGTTTATGTATTGCAGCTTTTGTTGACGATTTAAAATGCTTGTCTAAAGAAATATATTGAGGTAAAGTATTAAGTCAATTAATGTTCCATTTCTTCGTGCACCTATACGAGCGCAATTCATATCGTAAACCTTTTGAGACAATAATGTTCCTTGTAGCAACAATTCGTCTAGCAAAATTGTTCCTTCAGCAATTAATAAATCGTTTGATTTACGCAATAATTCTTCTGTCGCGTATTTAGCAGGTTCTAAAACATCAATAATTTCCTAAACTAAAAAACCGGGATTTTCAATCCCGATCCCGATAAATTTCGGGATCCCGGGATTGATCGGGATCGGTAAATCCCGGGAAATCCCGATCCCGATCCCGATAGCGAGAAAGCATACATCCAACCGCCTGCGCTTTTATTTCTGCATCAACACAAAAAAAATCAAAACCCTTCCTCGTAAGTCACTTTAATATTTTTTTGACACCCCTGAAACTTTTAAAACTAAACAAAATCGTGCAACTTAATTGAATTTCCTAATATTTCTACAAAAGTTTTAAATTATTCTGCACGAACTTTATAAAATTACCTAATTTATGAAAATATTATTTAATTTATTCTGAATCAAGCTTTCTCAGAATTTTATAAATAACAGCATTGTCATCTGTAGACATGAATCAATCAAGTCAAATTTAAATTCCTTATGGGGCCCGTCAAAAATAATAGGAATTTCAGTTTAACGGTTTAATAAAATTCAAAAATTTCTCATATTTTCGAGCAAAATTACCAAAACTTTAATCAGCTGAAAATCTAATTAATACTCTTGAATTTGTAACTTTATCTCTTTTAAAACACAAAATAGAACCTTAGAAACATACTATCGACATTTAAATATGAGTTGTATTACGTTTTAATTGTGTTTTCAGCAATTTTCGAAAAAATAGAATTTTTTTGTTGACTAAAAACATAAAAGAAAATTCAAAAAAATGATATTCGTTACAAGATTTTGAAAATTAAAGTGTTAATTTAAGTAACTTCCAATCATTTTATTGATAAAAATGATAATTTGAATGAACCAATAGAAGAAATAGCACAATTTTGTACAGAAAAATTAAAATTTAAGCTGGTAATAAAGAAGTTATTAAAGGTTGTTTACACTCAAAATACCCTTTCCCGAAAATTCTACGTCATCGGTGGATATTCGAATGGCTCTACAGAAGGAACCAGACATGCTAGAAAAACGATAATGGTGTCAAATTCTTTGTCTCGGCGAATCCTATAATACCAATAAAGAAAAAAATACAGTTTCATGGAAAAAAATCGCAAAAACTGACTAAAAGTGGTCTCCGATGACGTAGAATTCATTTTTGACGGGCCCGTTATACAGCACAGCTATTCATCATCAAATCGTATTGCTAATAAAAAATTCCATAGTGTGAAGTGAAAATTTTTTAAATTCTTTAATCATCTCAAAAAAAAAAGATTTCATTCATGCTGCAAGCTTTAAATCACAAAAAAGGAAGAAAAAAATCAATTGAATTACAACAAATTTCCTCCAATTATTCAATCATACTTGAATTTATTTAATGACAAATTTGATTTTAATTGACGTGCTTGTTGTTATTCATGTTTTGTTGTACTTTAAAAATTCAAAATAAGCGAGTTCTGCCACCCTTGAGAATTCAGACTGCCGAGAAGTCATCGAATGACTTTATTTTATAATGTATGTATAAAGCACTCAATGATTTTCCATAACAAAAAAAAAATATTTTATTCTACCGCATGCTTGCTTACATACACGATGAGGAGGAGGAGGAAAAAAAAGATTCATTGAAATTTGCATACCGTTCGCAACACCGCGTAGTATTTACAAACGTATGTGATGTTTATCGGAAGTAAAACTGAATATTTTTTTTTATTTCATTCTTGAAAATCTATTACATGCTGTGCTTGTGCTTTAAAAATGTTAAATGTAAAAACAAACAAATTTAATTTACATTAAATGCGAAGAAAGAAAACGTTTGCGATTCTTTGAGCTGGAAGGAAATTAATTTTTTTTTCAACATTAAAATTTGCATTTGAATATATTACGATCCTTCATCCGATGTCGGATTCTTGTGCATAATTGCTTATCATTGAATTTGTCGTTGAGGAAGTAATTCAAAAAAATTCCGTAAATAGGATATTATTTTTTCTTTTGTATAGAGCGCGGTTGCGCATTATGAACGAGAAATTATTTTAGGGCTCTTCTAGAACATTATTCATAGTTTTGTTAACAAGTTTCTCAACATGTTTGCTTACTTTTCTGGAAGCTTCGATGTTAATTGATTTTTAAAGACAAAGACTTTGTAATTAAATCAAGCTTTTTTAATTTTTATTTATTAATAACCTCCATGATTGATGTTTATGATGATAATAAAGCTTTCGTACTCAAATGTCATTAGCCAACCATCCAAATGTAGTAAGATCATTAACCACAAAAATCAGCCATCCTATAATAGTTTCTCAATCTTAAATTGCCAAAAAAAATCATTCAAAATTTCTATATTTGCACGTGCTGCCCTAAAAAATAATAGCGAAAGCCAAAAAAAGACTTGTATTGACCTAATTAACCGTTTTGTAAGTAAAAAGTTTCTGTCTTTCTGACTTCTTCCAAACAAACCAAAGAAACAAACGCAGATTGGCTAATGTCAATAGTGCCAAACTTTTTCTTATTCATTGACATATAAATAAACATTTGAGTTTAGAGAACGTCAGCAAAAGAGCTGGAGTGGAGAAGAAAAACAAGATGATTCTTGCGAATTGATACTTGTGTCCACAGACGTTAGTTGTGCAGAACAAAGAAGTCAACTGACAGTATTCTTAAAAAGTCAATATTTGTTGAATTTAAATTTATTTTTGGAAATACCATAGAACTTTTGAATATTATTATTATTATGATGAGGTCAGTGTCTCTAATAAGTTAAAGCTAGTAATGATAATAATAATAATTTATTCAGCATGCATTCACGGTCGGAGATGGTTATTGAGTTTTTGTCACGTTCAATTTCTACATTTCCTCAATTTATTGTGCATTAGTTTCGTTTGAAATGTTAAGTGATCATCGTCTGCTTAAATATTTAAGTGACTGTTAAAGAAGTTTTTGTGCAAAAATCAAGATTCAAATGGTAAAGAAGTGATTAAAAGTTCAATGAATCCAAAAAATATATTTGCCGAATATTTTTCAAATTGTGGCACGTTCGAGTTTGAGAAATCCGATTAATTGGGCATGTTTGAGTTTTCCAAGGTTATTGACCAGATCAATTTACATCAAGTCATTTGAGATTTTATACTTAAAAAGTTGTTTTTAAAATAAAGTCATCTGTAAAATGATCTATATCAACCTACAGAGTCTTATAATTTGATAAATAGTACAATCTAGGGTTGCGATATAGGCACTTGTGCACAGGTGAGAACCGTACAATTTCTTGATAATTTGTGAGGTTTTATTAGAATTTGTATGGTTTTGGTAGAAAAACCTTATAAATTATCAATTTTTGAACGGTTCTCACCTATGCAAAGGTGCCTGTGTCGCAACCCTGCTTCAATCTTGTTTCTGTTTTTTTATCTAAAGCCCTTTTGATTTAACAATTTAATTTAAGTTCCTGCCTAAGATTGTTGTTGAATAAGATTAAAATAAGTCTTAGAATTCACAATTTCACTAGACAATCTCCAAAATAAATTGACACATGTTCAATCAAATTTGTTTACCTTTGATCAAAGGAGTCACATTCGTAGACCGGTTTAAGTCAGAACCAAAACAAGTTTTATTTCTTTTGTGCTGATTGTTGCAAAACCAAAAGAATTGAGACTTAAATTATTAACATTATTGTGCAAAAAATAAATACTAATTCACCGGTTTCTTTTGTCAATAATGAAGTGTTAATAGGAATGTATAGAGCTTGTAAGAAGAAGATTGCAAAAGTGTGAAATTCAATAATCCGGTGATTATTTCTTTGTGAATACTAAAATTGCATAATTTTAAGCCAGACAAAAAACTGAGCTGTGTATTCCGGTGTTGTGCTTAGTGATGAAAGTTGACAGAAGTTAAAAAAATAGAAAAACCTTTAATTAAGGTCATCTTAGAGATGATCTTAACGTCGATGACGGTTAAGCTAATCTGAACATTACTTATGACATGAAAATATTAAAAACATCTCATAACTATTTGATTTGTAATTTACCAGTTAAAAACTTTAAGTGGTTTTTATGATTCTTAAGTTTCTATATTCTATCTTCTGTTTTAAAATATCAAAAAGATTGTCCAAATGAGCTCATATTAGGGTGACCAGAAATTTATGAAAAAATAGAGGACCTGAAAGTAAAATAGAGGAAATTCCAATTTTATTCGTTTTCTGGATGAATTAGAAAAAAAACAAAACTATTTTATTTTTGAAAAATGAAAAAAATAGAGAATTGTCCCCTGAAAAACCAAACAGTTGGTCAGCCTACATACTCATGATTCATTTCATACTCAACGTGAATGTTATTTTTGCAAATATTTAAATAAAACTAAACAAAGTGAGATCTCTTGTTAAGACATAGCTTCAAATTTCAAAGAATTAATTTTAGAGCTTAATCAGCTTTCAAATATTTGGATTCATCCTTCAAGCAGTTTTGTATATTACGTGCTAGCTTTCACAAATAAATTGATAAATAAATAAAAATTCATGACAACTGTTTCAAATATTTTGTTGATTTGTTGCTTGTTTTTGGTTCTTTTGAAATTAGTACGATTACATTCCGTGAGAAAATTATAAATTTCATTAAGGCAAGAAATATTTATCATGTGGCACATCTAAATGAGCTGGCAAACAAAAGTATCTAGAAATTCCTATCGAGTGCGACAATTTAGCAAGTTTCAGCTGAGCTCAGAAAAATATAAAATCAGCACAAATGTTTCCGTATTTTGTCGAGTCTGATCGAAAAAAACATGCTCATGACGCATTCATGCATTACTGCAGAATTAATTGATTATTAATTGATTATTAAGGGGTTCTAAAATTTTGCAATAAGGAAATCAATTTTTTTATATTATAAAAACTTTGATTTGACGTCACAATGGGATGGGGAGTGGGAAGGGGGTACATGCATCTGTGACAATTTTGTGACTAAGAAAGATGGGTCTAAAACTTGTGATTTTTTATGGACGTTATAAGTGAATGAACACTAGGTGGTGACACTGATAACAACCCCCCCCCCCCCCCCCCCCCCCCCGGTTGAATTTCTAAAAAATCAAACTCCAAACCTCATTTCAATAAGAAACCTAACCTAATAAGTGAACGAACCCCTCGAACAATCCAAAAATAGCTCACAATAACCAAATCCAAAGCTCAACAGACGAGCGTCTATAACTAAGAATGCGGCAAAACTGACCATCGTAATAAAAAAAATCTTGAAGGCATGATAATCTTTGATCTTGAAATGGTATGAATGTGTGCGTATAAGCGTGTTAGTGTCTTCAATGTTGCCTCTAATTCTATCACATAATCACTTATTGACTCTGATATTTAGCAACAAATATTGAACATTTCTTATTATCTTTTTTAGATTATTATTTCTAAGAGCTGCTTATCATCGATCTAAAGTACTCATTGTAAGCAAAACACGTAATTATAATTGGTAGCAATTAAAGTTTTCAAACTCAGTTGTTTTCATCGCTTAATATCATCCGCACGCGAGACATCAACACTTGACTATTATTTTATTGATTGACAATAAATCCATTAAAGGAAAGAAAAATGACTCAATCAAAGGAAGTGATCTATGAAGACGTGCCAAAGCCGAAAAGTAAGTATCCAAACCTTAATGTGTTGTGTAACACAAGTGGAATTAAAGCTTTTATTTTCCTTAATCCAACAAAAAAAAAATGTTAAATGACACAAAAAATTAATTGAGTGTGGTGATAAAAAAAAATGTTTCATGAATATATCAGTAATTGCCTTTCTCACTCAAATTTAATGCAGGAAAATTTCGTTTCCTCTAGAGAAGTAAAGGATAGATGTGCTGTAATGATTCTAGTGCATATTTTGTAGTGCATACAAAATCAATTTTAGTCATTTTTGTCGATTTGTCTGTAAAGAATACGAACTGACTTGTAGAAGCTTTATGTCTCCTTGGTAGACTTAGGGGCTAAGGACATAGTCTGAGTATATTTGAAAAAAGACGTTAGGAGCCTACAAAATCGTTCTTATTAACCGCATCTTAGTAGGGTAAACTTTATAGCATCCTGAGAATACATATGTACGATGTCATAGAGTTGGTCTGCATGTATTCATTCATAGGGTCTATTTGCGAAGAGCTCAAATTTTTAAGGAATGTTCTTCAACCTCGACTTCTCGCTTTGCTCAGACACAATTTTACTTAAAGCTTTCTTCTCATTTTATTTCAAAGCTGTTTTAATTTCTGTTCCATTTTAATAAATTTGCAAACAAAAAAATAATCTCTTAGAACTCAACCGATCCAAGATAAACGCACTAAACCCTTTTTTTTTATCCATTCTGTATTGCCTCCTCCCCAGCATCCCCGAATAAAAAAAACTTTTTTCATTCAATTTTAATCAGAAAAACTGCTATTCAACCATAAAATAAAATAAAAATAAAATTCAACAAACTCTGATTACAATCTCCTCTCTCGTTTTTTTTTGTGCCTACATACCATACTGGCACTGGCAATGAGAACAAAAGAGAGGACAAAAAAATTGGTAAATTAATAAATTAAATAATGGAAAAATCCACAAAAATATTTTTATTTTCTTTTTGCATTGCATTTAATTTTGCCAAAAATACACAAAAATTGGATTTTATTTTTTTTATTTCGCTCTTTTTTTTTCAGAAACATTCGGAACGCGACACTATATGACACTCATGCTGTTTTTGGGTAAGTCTTGTATTGTTTTACCAACTATTGCAATTATTTAAAGGGTTAACATTTTTTTTTTGTCTCTATACATCAACTGTATCTCGCCTGATTGTGGTACTTCCGATGTGATAGGAATGGCAAATGCATACGTTATGAGAACCAACATGTCTGTAGCTATTGTGAGCATGGTATGTATATTGAATTTATTATAGCGTCTCGTAAATAATTTTTTAATAAAGACGATTTTCGTGATGAGAATGTCTGTATGTATGAAATTATCGGATTTAAAAACAATGTTTGTAGACTAAGATCTCACGATTAGCAATAATTTTATGATTTGGATATAGAAGCGCATGACTAATTTTTAAAAATAAAATCTGCTGGGGGTCATTTATTGTAAAGTCTTTAAACTTAAAATAGCGCCAAAGAAAAAGCCAGAGGGGGGTGGGGGTCCTTAAGTGCCCGGGTGACCTCGGGCATGCAACTTTTTTTTCAAAACTTTTTTAAAATTTAAATCGCAGTTAATTAGCAAAAGCTAATCAAATTGAGAAGGTTTCAATGATTTTTGACAATAAGAAAATTTGCCCCCCCCCCCTTCTCTCACCTTGATAAAATCTTGGCTATGCCCCTGCAAAGCGCTGGATGTCATCTTAATCATCTTAGATCAGGGGCTTAGCCAGGAATTTGCAGGGGGGGGGGGCAAAAAAAATTTATGTGAATAATTCAGAGGGAAGGGGGAATTTTTATGACTTTTTCATAAAACTCCTAGCAAAATGAAGAAATTTCTGTTAAAGTCGTGGGATTTGTTCCCCAAATCCCACCCCTGGTTACGCGCCTGTCTTAGATCAATCTTAGTGTACTAGCTTTAGATTGTCAGACTTAATCATTTGTGAATTGCATCTAAAGTGTTTTAAATGACTCCAGAACCCTCCCTTCCCATTTTTGTAGCAATATTCATAAGATGTCATCTAACCTTTGCTACGAAACTGCTCACTATATTTACTAGACATCATTATTCAATGATTATCCAGATTCCGATAAAATCTAATATTCTAATCTTCAAAGTAATCAAGATTCTCAAAGTCATACTGTAATTCTGGGAATTATTTACTGAGATTTTAAAATCATTGAATCAACACTCAAGACTAGAAAATAAATTCATATTATTACTGTTAATTCACGGTCTTGAGAACGGAAATAAATAAACTCCACATTCGCATTTAACTAGTTTTCTTGACCGGAATTAAAGTATTAAATTTATTACATTTCAAGCATCTTAAATTATATCACGTTCAAAATCTACACGTTTTGTAGTCATGTAGATAGTAAAAGAGAATCTACTAGGGCATTAATTAAAAATCATAATTATAATATCTCACTCATGTTCATATTCATAAAAGTTGATTAATTCTTCCATACGAAAAGTTTTATCAAAAAACTATGAACAATTCAAATTTTTCACTTTTTCTTCTTGTCTTACCCACAACACCTCATAAACTCCACACACCCAACCAACCAAACAATCTACCCAAAAAATATGAATTTTCCCATGAAAAATTTTTCATCTAAAATCCTTAATATGCTACATACATGTGGTGTCTGAAGGATATCATATTTTAAAGAGCACCAGCACACATCTCACTTGATTCAATACAGAATGTATGCTCGCAAATTCAACCTCCAACCATGAATAACACAATCATTTTCAACTTATTTTAATCATTCAATGTTAAACTTTTCCTTCATTTCACAACACTTCTACGTATGCTACACATATTTTTCATAATGAAACAGTAGCTACATACAAAAGTCAGAAGAAGAACAAGTTTGAAAGTTATTTGGGTGATCGTGGACAGAGCGCATTTTCGATGTAGATTGCTTTAATGTGGAAATAAAGGCTGTTAAGTGTGTTATATTGCAAAATTGGATAAGTTTTTTGTGTTTACTAATCAGATTAGTTGCTATACTCTGGTGTGGGTGGATTAAGTGTTACACAATGTTGATCTCATCGACTCCACAGCCTTTTGAAATCCGAACATAAAAGAAAATCTGTAAAATCTAAAAATAATTCAAAGCTGACATGTCCAGAACGTCCTATAAAATAAAAGAAACAATACAGCCTGTTCATAGTTACAAACAATCAAATCCCTAGGTAGCATACTCCATCAAAAAATTGCACAAATTTTTTTTTCCCATAATAATTCTCATCACACAAAACATGTGAATCTGAATCTTCTACATTCTACATGTTAACAGTGAAAAAAATACTTTAAAAAAAACTTTTTTTAAAAAAGCACGCTTTTATTTCCGATTACAGAGCACTAAAAAGAAGAAAATAATTTTTTTTGCTAAGCTCTCAAATTTGATACAAAATTTTATGACTCAAAATAAAAGCGTGGGGCGTTAAATATAAACTAGCTCTAGATTTTCCAAAATTTATTTGAATTCAGTTTAATTATCCATTTCTTAATTCAACTTTTGTATTAAAACGAAAGGCCTTTTAAAGTTTTGATCTCAAATTATTTTTTGACATAAAGGAACTAGTTAGATTTAGCAGGAGAGTAAGACTTGATCTCTAGTGTCACACAGAAAACTCTACATTAATCTCATAAAGATCATGTCTACCGTCTCAGATTTACCATAATTTGTATGGGCTCATCATTCTCCTTAGACAAACCTATAAACATTGAAGACCTAACGCTTATGTAAACATACAAATTCAAGATTAAGTGATATTTATAAGAGCGCCCCACGCTTTTATTTTGAGTCATAAAATTTTGTATCAAATTTGAGAGCTTAGCAAAAAAAATTATTTTCTTCTTTTTAGTGCTCTGTAATCGGAAATAAAAGCGTGCTTTTTTAAAAAAAGTTTTTTTTAAAGTATTTTATTTTCTACTTTTTAGTCTTTAAAATCTCCAAATCGATTCAACTTTCAAAATTCTAAACTTCACTTAGTTTCACTCCGTTTCGTTCAACTATTTATTGAATACCAGTTTTTAATGGGTAATTAGTAAAGACTATCAAAATTTTTCATTCGTTTTATATAATTTAATTCATACTTGGAAACACATTAAACTCTTAAAAGTGTCCTGAACATCAATTAGTAAAGTACATTAAAAATCAATCATAAAGATTTGGTGTTTATTCGTACCATTTCTACTTAATACTAAAGTATTTATAACGGATTTTTCAAATTTAATTTTAATGAATTTCATTTATATGTTATGCAAAACTACGTCAAGCCGTTGATAAAAAGAAAGTGAATTTCATTAAATGTTAGTCAATTGTTAAGAATCAATCAAATACATTAAAAGCATATATATTATGCTCAAACGATGTGTGCTAAATGCATATTTGCATATCAATAGTTATTTTGTATTAAAAACGTAACTGACTTGCGCTTAACGGTTTTTTTAAAATTCAAATTTTCACTTACGAATATCTATGAAAAAATTACTTGTCAATTTTTTTACTGGTCTTACCAGAATATCTTTAGCTATTCAAATTTATAGTATAATTAATAATTAATAATATTAATTAAACTATATTAAATCATGTAAATGACTTTTGAACATTTCAAGTATAATATTTTAAACAAATCAAAAATATATGTCATTGACATTGGATTTTTTCTGATATAAAAAAAGTTTTACTTAAATTGTACTATAATTAAACTTTTTTGTGGTTCCAAAATGTTAAAATATTGTATTGTCACCGAGAATAAGTGTGCATAAAAAATTTGAGTTCGATTGTAGCAGGAGAAGTGATCGAAATAACGATTACAAAATTTGACGCATGAAACATACAAACAGTGTGAGTTAAATAAAAGCGTGTAAAATGGGAAAAAGTTTAAATAATTTTTTTTGAATTCATATTTCATTTTCATGAAATCTGTGCTATGTTTAGTGTTTCACCACTTGGCACATCATAATAATAATAAAAGTCATAATGATAACAATAATGAATATGCATAATTTTTTATCACTAACATTTTTATTCATTTTCAGGTCAATCATACAGCTATTGAACAGAACGATGAAGTATTTGATGATGAGTGTCCTGCATCAAGCAGTAGCAATGGAAATAGTAGTGCTGTAAGTTGATGGTCATGTAGAATTAATTGAGTAAAGTTATGCAAATTAGCATTTCAAAAAAATCTCATTAAAAATTTTACAAATTCTCAAGTCTGCGTTCTTGTTCCCAATAGAATCATCATCAAGATGGAGCTTTCATTTGGAGTACAAGTCTTCAAGGCTACATTCTTGCGTCATTCTTCTATGGTTACGTCGCAACACAAGTACGTATCTAAATCCAATTATTATTATTATTGTACTTATCACTGTCTAATTGAAATAAATTCTTCTATTATAATCATCTAGATTCCATTTGGAATTTTAGCCAAACGTTGGGGAGCATTAAATTTTCTTGGCTATGGCATGCTTGTTAATTCAGTATTTGCATTTTTTGTTCCGGTTGCCGCACAACAAGGTGGTTGGGTGTGGTTGTGTGTCGTTCGACTGATTCAAGGCTTAGGTGAAGGACCAATTGTAAGTAATTATGGAAATTCAGGAAGGATGATTCTAATTAATTATTCAACTAATGATTCTTCTAATAGGTGCCATGTACACATGCATTGCTTGCTAAATGGATTCCTCCCAATGGTAAATTTATTATTTAATGAACTCTTGTTGTTGGAAATGGCGCAACAGTCGACAGATTGTCAAATATTCGAATTCTAAAGGTTCATCATCTGTAATTAAATGTGTTAATTAATTTTGTTTCTATTTGGGGATGAGTGAGGATGCAAGTGGTTCGGATCCCACTATAAACTTTAGGTCTAAAGGGTGTGGTACAATAGATTCTGTTCTAATTTGAATCGCAGTGCCTCCAGCTGAAAGGCTGGGCCCTTCACACATTATTATTGGGGATGATTGGTAGGGCGCATACTTCCTAATTTATCTAGACACTTATCCGAGTCACATTTTATCAAAAATACACTAAACCTTTATGGCCTCATTCATTTATGACCTCCGATATTAACGGTCATTTGTCAAAAATTCCAGAAATATCGATTCATCTTTTCTTGCTGATCCCCCCCCCCCCCCCCCCCCCCCCGGACGTAATAAGTAACGGCCCCCATTCAACTTAACCCATCACAATAGAATGACCTCTACAAACATCCAAAATAATTCAATAATTGTCTGATCTAAATGCGCCATTCAACAATCACATTCAAAGTAAATGTTCTAAATTTAGCATATTCTATTTCCATGGTTCCATACAGAAAGAAGTCGAATGGGAGGTAAGAAGACAAACTTTGCATTGTTAAAACTTGATGGAAATAAATAATCTCTTCTTCAATTTATAGCATTCGTTTATGCTGGTGCTCAATTCGGAACAGTAATATCGATGCCATTGTCAGGTTTGCTAGCTGAATATTCATGGCCATCAATATTCTACCTTTTCGGTGCTATCGGTACTGTTTGGTGTGTTTTCTTCTTATGGACGTGTAAGGAGGATCCACAATCACACGAGACAATCGATGAGGATGAGAGGAAATATATTGTACAGCAGTTGTGGGGTTCACAGAAAATGACATCGCCTCCAATTCCATGGAAATCAATTCTAACATCACTTCCATTCTTTGCGATTTTATTTGCACAGTAAGTTCCATTGCCGATACTAATTTCTCGACTTGGCGATAAATAATAATTTTTTTGCCTCTTCTCAATTTAATACTCGCAGCATGGCGCAAAATTATGGCTATGAAACACTGATGACAGAACTTCCAACATACATGAAGCAGGTCTTGAGATTCTCCATTAAAGAAGTAAGTTATAAATGGGAACGGGGCTGGATACTTTGACAAGCTTGTTGTGTGAATTAATCATCATTTTGGACCAACTCCAAAATTACTTTTTGAGATCATTCATAAATGATGTTCAACTTTAGCTACGTAGTACTAATTGAACTTTTATTGTATGCATATGACGTCATTTATGAACATCCCCATTAAAACTTTGAAGTTTGTTCCTGAATTGCTACATTGTTCATCCGTTGTGTGTCTTTAGACTCCTCCTGTTCACGTTATTACAAAACTTTGCTTTACTACAAAAGCTTCCTACTCTAGCCTTAAACATGTTTATAGTGTTAAATGAAATTCCACTTCCAATTTTCTTCACAACATGACATGACAGATGACAAGCATCATGTGGCGTGAAAATTTATCACTTTTACAAATATGGCATCAAAATTTTTTTCGTTCTTTTATTTATTTTCTCTTCTTGTCTTTTTTTTCTCATACAAATTAATAGAATGGCTTCTTATCCGCCCTGCCATATCTCGCTATGTGGATTTGCTCGAACATCATTTCATTCATTGCCGACTGGATGATTGAATCTGGTAGATTTTCCCACACAATCACCAGGAAGATAATTAATAGTATTGGACAGTACGGTGCCGCAATTTGTCTCGTGATTGCATCTTATACTGGATGCGATCGTTATTTGACTGTCGCTATTTTAACAATCGGATTGGGATTAAATGGCGGTATATACTCAGGTAAATAGTTTTCACTTTTTTAAAAGCATTTTTATGGATATTTATGAAAATTAGAATTTCGTAGAGCATGATTTATTAAATTAAGCTTAATTTATCTCTATTAGTAGGTATTCTAACCTAAAAGCGTATGCTAGGGGCCACACTAGGGACAAACTAGTCAACCTTATTCATAATCGTTCTATTTAGGAGACTAGGGTTTCTCTTACAAATGATATATTTCAATTTCAATTTATTATTAACAGTGTTACTAAACCTTTAAGCAGTACAATATTATTCTTAATATTAATAATTTTCAAATCTATACTATTTCTGCTGGCTCAGTATGTAGCGCATAATTTTCACTAAGCAGTTGTGTGTCCGCAGCCAATTAAAAACTGTTATAGATCTTAGAACTAGTGTTCATGTCAGCTCTCGTTCCAATTTTCAGTTTCAATGTCTCCAAGTCCGTTCCAGTAAAAGCCCTCCATGGTAAATTTTACGGCTCTCGTAAATTTCTCATTCCGTCTACATAATTCTTGACCCGTTCCCACATCTCACATCTTAATCTTAAATATCTCATTCTTAGTTCTACATCTTAAACTGCTGCACTTATAAAGCTAAAGTATCTAAACTTCTGAAAAATCACTAGGCTGATGGTGAGATTCGAACCCGGGAGTTCAAATACAACACCAACTTTTGTGACCTGTTCCTTGCCAACTGAGCTATCAAGGCACTTTTGATTCTTATATATTATGTAGACCTATTCTATGACTTCGTTCCTTAATTTTTGAATCCAGTTCAGTTTCAAATTTTTAAATAATTAAATTCATCATCCCTCTTGTAACCTCCAAAATGTGCAAGCCGTTAAAATTATTAAAATTAAAACAAATTTTTGTGCAATCAGCAAAATTGACCGCATAAAATTTCCACATCCCACAAAAAGTGCTGCATCGAATTCTATTAACATAAATTTTGCAAAAAATAATAACATGCATAAAAACGAATGAATTTTACAGGTTTTAAAGTGAACCATCTCGATATTACGCCACGCTTTGCTGGCATTTTAATGGCTTTAACAAATTGTACAGCAAATTTTGCCGGATTACTCGCACCGATGGTGGCCGGAAACATCATTGAAGGAAAGCCCACAATAGCACAATGGAGATATGTGTTCATCATAGCTGCAGTTGTTTATTTTGTATGTGCAACATTCTACAATATTTTTGCAACTGGTAAACGACAAAAGTGGGACAATCCAGAGAACGATGATCAACAATATCATACATCCAAAGCTGTTGATAATGAAAATGGACTTAAGCAAAAAAATATTCAGGAAACAAAGTATTGAACGTAAAAAAAATGGTCTGTGAAGACGATAAGAAAAATTTATTTAGCTTTAAATAACTGTGCCTTAGTTAAAGGATATTAAGTTTAATTTAGTGCAACGAGCATATTTTTTAATCCAAACATTAGATTTTATTTATTTCTATTGCAAGCTCTATTAACTGTAAGGTATTTTTAAAAACAAATGGAAAAGATGTACAATCTATAACATAATAGAACAGTGAGCGCTGAAAAGTGTGTCGTGAGACAATAAAGGTTAAACACCACTGTATTAGAGCAATGAATTTTTTTAAAAATTGAAAGTATTATGGAAAGGCACATTGACACTTGGTTACTTTATTGATAATTTGACATTAGGTTTTACCTTATGTTGTGCAGAGCTCGAAGTCGATGAACGAAAGTCGATTTCCAACTCTGATTTTGTAGTGTTGAATGATATTCAGAAAACAGAATAGGATGGAAGCAATACAAAAGAGCCAAAAGCAGTTACAGTTGGAATTACTTTTAATTTCAAACTCATCCTGGCTTTCGAATGAATTATAAATGTCTGATACGTTCAATTCATGTTCGACAGACTTATCGAAAGTCTAGAGGTGTTTTAATATGCACGTTCGAACAATTAAAATTTGAAAGAAACCGTTTCAATTTTTGGTCATTTTATTCAAGTTTTTGATAGTTTTGAAAACAGATTTAGCTATATTATGCTTATTATCAAATGATAAAATAATATTATAATCATCTAAAATTCATGAAAAAATTGCTTAATTTAAGTTTTTATGTTTTCCAAATTTTCAAAAATTTCGAACTGCAGGGTATGAAACTTCGAATTTTGCATGGCAGACAGACAAATAAGACATTTTTACAAGTGCTCTTGGAAACTGTAACGGCCGAAACTCTTGAATTATTCGTATCAGATAAATTTGTCATTGATCCAGAGAATCATGATTTCAACTAATATTTACCTACGGACCAGTAACCAAGAAAGCACACGGCACCAAAAAGTCCGAGAAAACAGGCATCATGCTGGTGTTGAGCTGGCGTGGAGCTCTGTTCGGTTCTAGAGTTTGTATGTACGACTTCATTTTTTTGAGTCGACTCGAGTCAACTCATAAATTCTAAAGCTGTGTGTGACTCAGATCGTAAGAATTATTTGGTGCAATATCACAAATGTAATTTCCACAATTTAGTCAGGATTTTAATGATCAAATATTTTAAAAATTTAGTCTTCCTAAAATATTCAGTTGTCGATAAGTTACCTTCAATGTTTTTATTTATTCCAAAAAGTGTGATTTATGTCTAGTGAAAATGTTTGGATGTGTTTTTTGTTTCGAAAAACTTGTCAAAAATTTTCTTTAGACAATTGTTTGTTGTTATTTTAATTCCTTTAATTTTATTTAAATTTAAGTAAATAGTTTTGTTAATTTTATTATAAAGAGCTTTTAAGTAAATCATTTAAAAACCATCAAATTATTAAAGTGAGATGAATTTCAAAATAAAGATGTAAATGAATATATTTTTAAAGAACGAGTCCTTGATATTAGACTAGATTGTTGATGGCTATGATCAAAATGATGGATTAAGACATGAAATGAATATTGAAATTCTAAAAAAAATATTTTTGTTCATTAGTAACAATAAAAGACATTGTGATTCCAAATCACATACAAAATTTCGATTTTTATTATTTTCACTGAGTTTTGTCTAATGAAATTCACAAGCATAATCTTAGGCTCGGAAACTGGGCGGTATATCTCAAAATACTCCCAACTTCCATACAAATTCCTCTCAATAACCCCAAACACAGCCTCTTTATATGAAATAACGCCTAGTTTCCCAGCCTGGGTATAATCACACAAAAACTCAAGTCAACGACTTACAACCAAAAAATTCAATTTTCACCATAAATATTTTCAAGAATATAAAATTATTTCAAATTATTTCATTAAAGTTTTTGAATATTTCCGCTTCCAGATTGAAAATTGTTTCCTTTTTCTTTCAGCACCAGCAATTTTTGTCGCAAAGAATCCCTAGCAGAAATTTACTAGTAATTTCCTAGTAATTTACTCGATAACTTTCCATTTGCTACTTGCTATTTACTAGTCAAAATCCAAGTTCAAATCATCGCCAAAGACCCGCATTTTCACTTGCTAATTGACTAGTCAATTCGCTTACAATTTAACTGGTAATTTACTAGCAAATTTGTAAAAAATTTAAATGAATATAACCGTTGATTTCCACGTGTTTTTTTGATTTTTTTATTTGTGTAAATTATTGTAAAAGTATTAGTGTGTACTTAGTTTAATTAATTAAAGTACACTAATACTACGAAAAAAATAAAAGACTTAATTTAATTAAGTCAAACACTGATGAACGCTTATGACTCGCACGCAAACCTGAGGAAGATAAATAATTAAATTGAATGTCTCATACAAATTTGGATCGAGCTTATAAAGGTGATTTCTGCGCGCTCTTGTGAAGTATATGGCAAATGCCAAATTTAGAACAAAATTTTTTATGATGCAAAAATTTCTTTTTTTGATGATTTTTCGTAGGATTCGAACTTAAGAAGATTTGATCAAACATTTCTCATGGAAATTTGCTAGTAATTTGCTATTAAATAGTAAGTGTAATTTACTAATAGTAAGTTGTTTTAATAATAACTAGTAAATTGCAAGTAGTAAAATAGAAAGACTAGCAATTTGCTAGTTAGTCTCGCTAGGGAATGTTTTAAAAAAAATAAAAAACAATTTGAAAATTCTGCGAAAATTACTCGAACAAAAAACAAGTAACAGGAATTTATACCAACAAAAATTCAATTCATTACAAAAAGAAGGCGTTGGAAGTGAAAAATATAGCAGAATGTCAACAATTTATAATCACTAATGGTACACAATAAATTTTTTAAGTAGTTGAAACAGAAACATGAAGAAGACACAGAAGTATAATTTACAGACTACACTGAGGAAAATATTTGCAAAATAGATAACAATTTGCTTGCTTCTTTTTATTTCCTTTTGTTGCTGCATTTTTAGTACAAATTGCTTATTTGCCTCGCTACGTCTAGTCGAGAAAAGAGAATAAATAGCATTCTGACGCGTCTGAAGGGAGATGTTGAAAATGTTGATTAAAATGAATTTGATATTAGATGGTAAGAGCGCATTGAACATGAACGATGTACTTTTATATCTGAATCATTTTATTCCGTAATGTCTAAATAAAGTCCTCTCAAACAGCAACTGTTTTATTAGTCAAACGTGGTCTGTTTCTAGTGAAAACCGTTGTGTGTAGCTTAACCTAGAAAAAGGCTGTTGATAGAGATAGTGTTGTATTTGTAATTTGCAGACGGTAGCTAGCGATTGAGCTAGTTTTAGGGGACTAAGGGAGATCATGGATCACCATGATCCATGAAATAGAAATCCGTACCCAAGCTGGCATGACACTGGGATGTTGCTGGCTTCGATTTAAGTCTAGCAACACGTTTGATTTAAATCCAGCATTATGCCAGAGTCACACCGGCTAAGTGCCAGATTTCTGATCGATTAACCGACTTGTGCCATTCGGAGTAGCTTAATCTAACCAGAGCATTATCATCACGATAATGCTACGATTTGAAAATCGACTACAGAAGAACTCTTTTATACATTCTAGACCAAAGGCTTAGCAAAGGAGGGAGGGGGGATCAAACCCAAAAAATTCTTCAATCTGCTAGGGTTTTTTGAGGGTTTTGTACCTTAAATACAAAAACAAAATTCAAACTTAACCCAGAATAGAATAGAATGTAATGTAGGGTTTTTTTCTGTTGTACCATCACAAGTCCCAACCCAACTCTCCGAAAAAAAGTTTGACCACGTTTTTTTGCTGACTCATGGATTCAATTCTAGGATTACTAGGGACGTCCAATCTTTGACTGCTGTAGCTATCATAAAATCAGTAATTTTTGAAAATCAAGTTGACATTTTGTGAGCATTTCATTGATTTTTCCGCATAAAATGAATTATCAAAGATTAAGATAAAAAGCAAGGCGTGGAAACTCAGGATTATTCCTGAAAAATTCCAAAAATCCTAAAAAATCCCTGAGCAATAAGGATTTCACATTTCCATGTTTATTGGATATTTGGTATTTTTCAGGATTAATTCTGAGTTTGCACGCCTTCATAATAAGAGTCACATCTAATTCAATTTCACACCCTCAAAATAATTATAATGATGAAGTTGGGTTTGCTTCGAGATAACAAGACGAAAGCTTAAACGACATTTTAAATTTTGCACACAATAAATTACTTCTTGTTACTGTCTGTAATAATTCGTTGTGAATTTTTCGTTTCCTCTTTTGGATATCCTGACAGCTAGACAGACAAGAAAAAAATGGAAATGTTTTAAAAATAAAACTTTTCAGACATTTCTTCTTTTATTATCTGAATTGTGGCTTCTGGAGGTTTTTGAGTGGAGCATGGATGTTAATAATTTGGTTAATGATTGTAGATTTCTTCATTATTAAAATGTTGTGCGTTCAGGATGTCCAGACGAGAATAGAATGCAAATCATCCCACACAAATGATAATTAATTCTCAGAGCTAATTAACATTGTCTGTAAAACCAAAATTTGAAATTAAATCATAAGGAAATTTCCATTCATTGATTTAATGACATTTACAGCTTAATTAAAAGAAGATTATTGATTTGCGGACGTTCCATAATGGAATTTTCCACAATGTGCACCATAAAAGTTATGCAATTGTTTTCATTTCATTTTCTTTCTCATCAACAGCTGTCAGGCTAAACAGCATTAGATTTAAAACATAGACAAACAAATGCAGAAGGTGGTGAGCTGTCGATTGAAGTTTATATAAACAAGCAGAAAAGTTAAGCTATGTGGAAAAGTTTATAGACTAGTTCTACATTTTGTCATGTATATATGCATACGAGGGTGAACATTGATGACCTCACATTTATATTCACTCCTTCCATTTTCTCCACCTTTTTAAGCATCTACTTTTTTCCAATAGAATAAATTTCTATTTATCTATAACTATTTTCAATCCATATGCTTCATCTTTTGATTAATGGTTTCATTCATCTTACTCGACATTTGTTTACTATAAAGCATTCATTTTCCTACACTTTACTTCATATCCTTTTGCTAAATATGGATGTTGTAAGCAAGCAATCATGAATCGTGTATGATGATGGTAAATCAATGAATAAAGGAGGCAATTTTGTATTAAAGGCACAAGCTGCGGTTTTAATTAGAGAATTTTCTGGATATTTCCATCACTTTAATCTATAATTGGAGCATCGATGCTATAAAATACCCAATTATTTTCGAACATGAGATTAAAACTAACAACACTTAAGTATGCAAAATATTCCAAAATAATATGTCTCAATTGAAAATCTAAATTTCCATAAGGGGCCGTTCACTAATGACGTCCAGAGGGGGGGGGGGGGGGTCAGCAAGAATAGAAATTCCTGAAAATCTCTTGTTCTTATTTGAAATGTCCGGTGAATTCTGACGTCATATGTGAACGACCCCAAATGTGTTGTAAGCAATCATCTTAAACTACAAACTATTCCAAAACTTTTCCTATACATCTCAAAAAACTTTACTATTTTATTATGTTTACAATCAATTAAACATTCAGTCAAATATATAAGCGCTCAAGCCATTCATGAACATAAGGATGAATTCATAAGTTTTCTACGTTGTTCTACTTTAACACCCTAATTATTATTGCTGTTAAGCTTCTCCCGTCTTTCGTTAAAAGAATATCGGAAGTAAATTATTATTTTTAAGCCCATTATAAGCTTATTTTCACATCCATTATCAAAGGCTCCACAAACATTACATTTTCCATACCTTTTCATTCACTTTTCTGCTATTTTCCTTACAGCACATTCATCACATCTATCTTAATCATAATCATTGTGATCATATTTATTTAATAAATGTATTAAATATTTGAAAATCAACCATCAAACATGATATAATAGATGAACAAGAGTAAAAGATGATGAGGCTAAAAAGGAGGAGTTACTCAAGTGGTATGAGAAGCTAAAATATGATGAAAGAGGAAATTAAAGAGATGAAGATGATGATGAGCTTATGGTGAATAAATATACTTTGTGTATGTGATATGCTATCGCTCCACAATTTCTACATGTTTGAATGTACTCAAAAGCATCAACATTGAGCTTATTTACACATGATGAAAAATCGTTTAGAGATTTTTTTTTAAATGAAAAAAATGAGATCATGAGGAAGCATACTGGTCATGAAGAGATAAAAGCTCATTTAACGTAGAGTTGAGAAATTTCAAAGGTTTACTGATGAACAACACATAAACTCCTACTTGAATTCAATAAACATCCTTGCAATTGCTTATTTTGAAGAGTTTATAGGATGAAAAATGAAATTGGAAATTTTGGGGTA